ACGTTACTATTGTGGTCGAAGTCGAAATATTCTATTAGTAATGTAATTTGGTATGCCAGATCTGGCAGACAAACTAATTTAAACACATCAAGTGAAGGGTTACAGGGGAGTTTTTCCCTGTTCATTATACCTTACCATTTAAAAGATAGATTTGATTGATTTCCTATTTAACCAAAATATAGTTATCACTGAAGCACACTGAAAACGTTCCAGCTGTATGTCCACGTATAAATAGCATAAGGTAGTTGCGCTTAGGTGAAGAGGAAATTCATATAATGTAAATGTGGAACTAACTAGTTTGTATCCCTTCTCAGCACCCTTCTCGTTCTGTGTTACGTTGAGCTTATCTACCTATTTATTTAGTTTCATATTTTATCACCACACCTATTCCTAATAAGGGGCATTTCAAAATAAACTTTAGTGAACGTTCCTGTAGTAAGAAGACGAAAGTACCCTTGAATTATGATTTCCTTAGTTAATATCGGCATGTGCGAAATTAGCTCCTCTACTGAACAATATGAATGCTTTTTGTTTTTTGTGAAATTTTCAAGAGTTGGTATTAATACTCACCATCGGCAAAAAGTCGACACCGTTGCCATTTCGGTATATCCAAAACCCGTAGATCCTTCAAGATCTCCTAATAAGCAAAAAACAAATTTTTCATTATATAAGCCACTTTGAAAGGTAAGTATGAGTGATTTTGAACACTAGTTATAGAGATTTTAGTTTCCAATGCAAGTTCAATCTCGTAGCTCTTATTAAAGTGTGCTTTTTTCGTCACACTATTCAGATACATTTATTTCCCAGTCGTGTTCCACATTTATAATCGATATTATCACCATTTTAATCCATCCTGAAATTCAGCTACTTCTGATAGACCTTTATACAAATAATCAAACTTTGTGATATTGGAGCATCTGTTAATGCCTTTAATTTATGATCAATGCAAGTGTCATTGCCCATAAAGCATAACTTGGTTAGTATACACTAAGAAAATTCATCAACTGGACATTTAATGTTAAAATGTTTACCTTTGCACAATTTTTAAGTCTTGCATTGAGATCTTCATCAACGGAAAAATCTTTCACGACGGCCCAGCAACTAGCTGGCGTTAAAACCACAGGAAAGGAGAAGGCCAGTCCTTCTGGCACGCTGTATTCTCCTGTAAGAGCAAAAATACACGATTTTTAATGAAAAAGAGTACATAGGCTTCTGTTAATATTATATCCTATTTTGTCCTTAGTATGCCTTAAGTAATAGATAAGCATGGATTATTTTGGGTTGTCTCGAACTGGTCTAAACTTACTTTACCTAGAACCCTAAATATAGGGGTCCATGGTGGCCTCTCAAAACAGAATTTTTCCACTAAGTCAATTATTAAATTTGTCTTGGTGAACTAAGAACAAATCAATCCAAATTTTCCTAAGAACAATTTTTTGAATTACTATTCGACCTTTCCTACTGATCATTCTCAAGGTTTCTGTCTGGGATATAATGCTACGTGATAACTTAGTGTTTACTTCCCTTGGGTAGATAGATTTGCGTATCTGCGGTAATTGCTACGAACGAACGTGATAAATTTTTGGCTTTTTTTGCTTCGCAGGGTTTGAGGTCACCGCCTATCGCTCATCGGGACTTCAATGCTTTTTCTAATGGCTTAGGATTAGATAATTAAAATGAAATATGAGCACATCGACCATTGAGCCTAATGAGAATGTTTGAACCGACTTATTGCTTATAACCTTATTTAGTCATTTATTTATTCAATTCCTAGAGCATAATGTTTTGATACTTTCGACATCTCTATGTGATCATAATAGAAGAGAATTTGCATGACTTCGTTTTCGCAATTTAGTTGTAGTCTCAGAAGGACATCAAAGAGTGTACTCCTTTATCCGAAAGGAAACTGCTAATGGAAGAGGCTATATTTCATCTTCGACTTTGATATAGTAGAAATGAGCTTAGTGGCCCCCGCCAGAGATAGAGGGCATACCTTTATTTGGTTATCCAAGACTAAACTTACATATTCCTGCCAACAATTTACTGCGTTTGGTAAAACTATAGAATTCTATTGAAGACAGAATATACATCCGCAGCTAAAATGGCATTAGCAAAGTTGCTTTTCATTCTATTTATTTCTTTTATTCGCGGCTTTTATTTTTGTTCTCAATGTCATCTTAGTTACTGAATTCGCGTCTTTACGTTCACACAATGTCTACCAAGACTACTGACTAGAGGAAAATAAAAAATGCGGTGAACCATCAAAATGTTATCTCTTATACAAACGTTCTTTACATGGTATGCCCCCAAACCTCTCGAGCTAGACCCACCATTGGATACTGTCACCAAACTGGTGAAATGTTGCTCTGTTAATGTGGGCCCTCTGAAAAGTTCACTTAGCAAAGAAATGATGCATTCGCTATGTAGAATGAGTGACTTCATTGTGCTGCGTATCCCGCCTGGCTTCATATCCTTATAGACTATGTCGGTTCGCAGTGCAGAACTTTTGCACGGCATACTGTCTGCTGAGAGATGAAACCAATCGGGCCCACAAACGCTGGTTTCTCGATCACGTTTTCGGTAAACTTGCGATCTGCTTGTGTCCACTTCCATACGACCTCCGGCGTTTCCCCAAACAACCACGTTACTCACATCTGCCGAGCGCACTTTTAACTGGCGAGCTAAGGCGGTAGTGAAAATGCGCTCAAGAGGCTTGGACAGGCCGAACACATTTCGCGGTTCCATAAAATTCTCGAGCAAGCCAGCAAGCACCGTCACATCAAAGTTGATTGGTGTATAGGCACCTTCGGCTATTTGGTAAAAGTGAGGATTACCAGTAATGAGAACCTTTATTGTGGGATTGCATTGAGCTCTAATTGCCTCACTGAGTTGAACAAGGAAGAGGTAACGTCTCTGCAGCCAGTCAGAACGCTCCTCAAACAGAATGGTTGTACGTTTTCGCACTGTTTTGATAACCGTTTCTCTTGGTATCACATCAAACATAATAATAAGTTCGGCGGCAGCCACACATTCTTCTAGGCTTTTTACAAATTCGAAATGTCGCAGGTGCACTGAGGCCATGTCTAATAACTCCATATTTAAACAATTCTGCATCTCCATACTAAAGTTGTCGGAATATATGCTTAATTCAATCGGTTCATTGTTGGGAAACACATTTTCAATCGCTAGCTTGCTAAGGAAGTGGTAAGCGCTTTCACAATCAATTCCAAAAACTGCCACTTTTTTATGCATCGGTTCTAAACTCTTCATAATTGCTTCTTTTTGCCTTCTGCCTTTTTCGAAGTAGACATTGTCTTTGGCGATTTCCATCAGAACATCCGTGTTAAGAAGAGACTCAGCATTGAAATAGGCCATTGCATATTCTAAGAATTCGTTGGCTCCTCCCAACAAAGTTTTTGGCCCTCCTCGGTCGACCAATTCCCTCCAGACGACGGGAGAAGCCTTTACTGTGGTCCATTTATTTTTTAACGTCTCTTCTTGAATCCAGTTCTATAAGAGTATATATACATATATGCTAGCAAATCATCCTCAGCTTACCTGCCAGTCTTCTGGATTTTTGACAATCTTGTGCACTCTAAAGTCCGGGAGTTTGGCGGTCAATTCATCTGCCAAAAGTTCCACTTTGGCATAATATGGGCAGTTAGAGACACCTGATAGGAAATAGGGGTACGATTGCACTCATTTATAGTTATTATTATCTCGCTTTATGGATATGGTAAAATAAGGCTATTTCAAAAGAAAGTGGGGGTCTTAAAGTCAGATTTAAGTAATAAGAACCTTAGGAATGATTTGACTTAGTTTTCGCAACTTAGGCTGCCAGAATTACCTCAAAAGCACTGTGTCTAGGTTCCCCAATTCGTATAAGCGAAATACAGCCGTTGACCAGCTTTCTGCTGAACTGTCATAGCCCCTTTCCTCATATGTCTCCGTATATCATAGCTCAACTCATTCCTGCATTACTCCATTAATCTACATTTTGAGTTAAGTTGAAGATGCGTTACTCCATTGCTATTGACCGACTTAACGCCGTGTTTCTTATCCCATTCCGGCATTTTTACTGGGCTGACAAATATCGTGAATAGTAATGTTCTTCACGAACCAGCCATATCATTCGACCTGCGTACTCTAAGCTAACTGAGAACCTATACCTCTGATCTCTGCTGCGTGTCGTAAGTTGGTCAATGGCCGAGTTGGCCTCGTCTTATTCATGCTGTCATATTCTTATGACGGTTCTCAGTATCTTTGTCACTTTAACTCTTGTTTCATACTCCTTGATGTTGTATCTGTTTCCTCGGGTTGATTAAATTCTTGTTGTGTTATGAGTCACTATTTCTCTATCCTAGTTAAAAATAAACGTATCTTTTTGTTGAGCCTGCTGTTTCCTGGTTTATTCGGAATGTACTTTAGGAATAAACAAAGATTACGCTAATATTGCCTTCAAATTTGTTGATTGGATTTATATCTGAGGATCTCAACGGCCTCCCTTATATTTAGTTTACCTATTTTCTCGGTATCAGGATTTCCAGCTCCTATTGTCTCCTATTCGTGTTATGTAGCCCGCTATATAAGGATCTTTCTGTATCCATTTTTCAGTTTTTATTTTATCAGGTCTGTATTCTGATTCTTCATCCCTCTTCCACTACATACTTCCACTCGCAATCGATGTATTCCATACAGTGAACTCCCGAGCAATCCAGTTTGTTCACCTCATCATATTGCTTATTAATTTGCGATAACCTGAATATCCATTATTCTTGATATATCTTCTAGTAGTTGAGCTAGTTCACAGGATGTTAGGCATATCAACTTCATATCTTTCTTTCCCCTTATTTTCTTTTCACAACCCTCATCTTGATATTGGCTCTTAAGACCCATACCTTTCTATTTAACGTATTTTTCTCGGGTGTCTGTTGATGGAAAACCTCTGAGGCCATATGTTTAATTTTACGAACAAATTTGATATGCCTAACTTCCTGAAAAATAACTTGGACGCTACGACCGATGTTATGAAAATGGAAGATTCAGGTGATCACAA